AAACCAGCCTGGTCGACCAGCTAAAACCAGCCAACCAGCCTAGGCTGGTTTAAGCTGGATTTTTCAGCAGGGTGTGTTTGTATATTGAAAAACAAATGTTGAACATAATACTTTTTTTCCTCATGACTTCATAATGTATAACATTTTACGTTTTTGAGCATGCAACTTTCCCTTTTGCCACAGTAAAGCTCAACATGTCTTCTTTCCAATTATATCCCATTTGTGTTTGTAGCTTACTGGAGTCAAGAACTCTTACTTTTTTAAAGATAGGTATGTGTAAATCCTCTAAAGTGAGTGCTGGCTAAACAACAGAAGCATGGCAATGGAACAAGATAATGTCAGGGTTATAGAAGGTAAATAATAATAGCAGCACAAAAAAAATAAAGAAAGAAATAAAACTGACAAAAAACAAGAGTATACGTAATTAAATAAAATTCTTACAATTGCAAACAAGCAGGACTTTTACCTTAATGAAAAATGTTAAAAATAGAGCACGAATGGACAGTTTTAATAGCCTTTCTATTAGCACTATGTTGAATAGTACAAAGTAAATTTTTCAGTTCCTTATAAAATAAAGTAAAACAGTTTTTTTTTTTTTTTTTTTTGGAAAAATTACACTTATAAAACTTGCATTTACATTTAGTCATTTAGCAGACACTTTTATCCAAAGCGACTTACAAATAAGGACAAGGAAGCAATTTACACAACTAACAAAAAAAAAATAGATTATTAACAAAAACTTCATTATTCAGATTATCAAAATTAAAATATCAAACACTTACGTTTTTAAAAGTTCTAATTGAAATGAAAGAGTACCTTTGTTTAATAAAGACAGAAGCATCATACCAAAGCTTATACTGTACAGTTTAAGTCAGAATTATTAGCCCCCCTTAGATTTTTATTTGAATTTTTCCCCAAATGATGCTTAACAGAACAAGGACATTTTCACATTATGTCTGATAATATTTTTTTCTTCTGGAAAATTGGAAAATCTGGAATTTAATTTTATGGCTAGAATAAAAGCAGTTATTAATTTTTATTAAACATAATTTTAAGGACAAAATTATTAGCCCCCTTTGAGCAGATTTTTTTTCAACAGTCTACAGAACAAACCATTGCTATGCAATCACTTGCCTAATAACCCAAACCTGCCTAGTTTATCTAATTAAGCTAGTTAAGCCTTTAAATGTCACTTTAAGCTGTATAGAAGTATCTTGAAAAATATCTAGTTAAATATTATTTACTGTCATCATGTCAAAGATAAAATAAAGCAGTTATTAGAAATGAGTGATTAAAACTATTATGTTTAGAAATGTGTTGAAAAAAATCAAATAAAACAAAAAACAGGGGCTAAAAATTCAGGGGTGGCTAACAATTCTGACTTCAACTGTATATCACATAACCACCAAAGTGCCAAAAAGATGTGGGGTAGTGATGTCAGTGCAAAAAAAAAAAGAAAAAAATGACTTGAACTGATCTGTTTTTTTATGCCTCAGTTTATTCAGCAAAAAAATATGAACTCTTAAATTCTTCTTGTGTCTTAAATTGTTTCAGATGAAACACTGAGAGGGCTGGACCTGCTAAACGTGGCTGCATCTTTGAGGGAAAACTCAACTTTCTTCCAGTCTGAGGTCATGCGTCCTGCCAATGACCCCAAAGAGAGAGATCCTGCCCATGTCCGCATGCTCAACGATGTCCTCCGAGATCTGGAAAAAAGCTTTCTTATCCCAACCCCACCTGCTGGCTTTTACAGGTACAGGCTCAAAGCATACGTTCATGGATGAATGACGTAAGTTTCCAAGCAAGTGAACAAATCTAAAACATTTGGAGGAAACTTTGATAAACCTAAAAACAGAGAGGTATCAATTATTAAGTGTTTGTGGAGGAATGAAACCAAAATAGGAAGAGTTACAAGAAAACGGTATGTGCTGAACCTGCCATTCTTTGTCATGTTACTTCAAGTAAAACAAAACAAAACAACAAAAAAGTATCAAATAATGCATGACATATCTTTTTTTAGAGGAATGACTATCCTACTTTTTCTACACATGGAAACATTTTTTACCAAAAAGTTTCAAATCTCTTATAGTGATCATTATTTAAAGACTTTAGGCTTCTTTTTGAATGCAAATCATAAAGTTTAACAGGAGTTTTTGTTGTTGTTGTTGTTGTTGCCTTCATCTTCAAAAGCCCTATGCATATGCATAAGCAGATGTCATGCTCATTGTCTTGAGAAGGTGTTTGCATTCAAAGGAGGTACACAACATGAATTAAAGCTGGACAATATTTTCACTTCATGTAGTGAATCTACAGTCTATGCGATACACGATCCACATTGTATTCTTTGTTACATGTGGAACGTAAGTACAGTATTACTGCTACTGTTACATGCAGACTCATACAATCATGGTTAAAAGTCATGTCCGGATAAAACAGGTGCACAATATTTGTTCCTGTAAATGTTTAATTAAATCATAAAAAGGCTAACTAGCTTATTGTGGTGTATGGGCTGCAAAATGGGTGGAATAACATCTACATTCATTGCAATTTAGTAAAGTTATGCGTAACAAAATAATTACACAAACAGTGTGCAGAGTACCCGCAGGGTCTGAAAAGAAAAGTCTTAAATTTGATCATCGCAAATTAGGGCCTTAATTGGCTTGAATTTGGTATGCAACGTCTTGGATTTCGTCTTATTTCGGTCTTATTTTATTTATTTATTTTTGCCTTTCCTAGGATTAAAGTTCATACCATAACAAAATTAACTGTTACTAATGCAGGCTAATTGAAATATTCATGCAGCGTAACATTGAGTGAATCTCCCTCTCCACGTCATAGCAGAAAGTCTGTCGCCGTAGCTTAGGCTACTGTACTATGGCGAGGGAGGTGAGCGCGAGTATTTGCATCAATTTAT